GGGAGACAGACAACTGCATCCTAATTCCAGCAGCCTATGTACCAGTTCCATACCTCACCACTTTGGCACAATGAGAAGGGGATCTCCTCTCTCCCAGACCTTCACTGCTTGATATAGAACATGCAGGCTACGTTGTTTGTTGCACTCTTTATGGGGATCTGTTCCTGATTAGTGGCAGGAATTGGATACAGGCATTCCTGACTGCCGTCAGCCGCAAGAAGCTGATGTGCAAATATGCTTCATGGGCAGACTGTTTTCCCTGAATGGTGTTGATCCCTAAGTGTGCTCCCCAACCCACCAAAGATGCATTTGTTGTTATGATTGGGGAGGGTTGGATAAATGGAACACCCAAACAAGCGTCTGGGTCTTTCCACCAATTGAGAGAGTCTCGTACTTGACAAGGGTCTGACACCTGCTTGTTCAGGCTGTGTCTGTTCACAGTATAAAACATCCTGAACCAGTCCTGGAAACATCAAAGTCATAACTTGTCATGTTGCATCACAAAGGTACAAGCTGCAATGTGTCTGAGTAGCTGAAGGAAATTTCTTGTTGATGTCTGTGGACTGATCTGAATTTTTGAGAGTTTTGTTTGTTTATGTCATGAGGGCTGTCCATGGGAAGGTAAGCTCTGGCTGATATTCATCTAAGCTGGCCCCTAGGAACTCTATCCTTTGCAGCGGGCTCAAAGTAAATTTCTTGATGTTGAGCTGCAGACCTAGCCTGCAGAACAGAACCATTGCTGTCTTTATTGTGGAGAGAACATTGTTTTAAAACCAGCCCTTGAATAGCCAGTTGTCAAAGATCAAGAGCGACCACTGCTAGTACTCTGGAGAACACCTGCATGGCAAAGAAAGGCCAAAAGGAAGCACCTGATACTAGAACTTGACTGACTAGAAACCAAAGTGCATAGGCTGAATCGTGACATAAAAATAGCATCCTGAAGGCTGAGGGCTGAGAACCAATCCTTTGGTTCCAATGATGGAATTATAGCTGCAAGAATCACCATCCTGAATTTTTGTGTTTACATGAAGTTGTTTAGTAGTCTTAGATCTAGAATCGGTCTCCACTCCCCCATTTTTGGGGAACCTGAAAATACTTGGAGTAAAAACCCTGCCCCTGTGTTGATGTGGAACTGGTTTTGTGCCTCCTAAGTGTAAAAGGGAGTCTATTTCCTGTTTTAGCAAGTGCTTGTGAGAGGGTCCCTGAAAAGGGATGGAGAAGAGAGGCGGGTTGGGGGGTGGAGGGGAGAGGAAGGTAAAATTGATGTAACCACTCAATCGTATAACTTCCAACACTCATTTGTCTGATGTAAACGGCTCTCATGTGGATTGAAAGTGGGAGAGAGGGCCTCCAAAGGTGTGTGTGTGGCCGGGGGGGCGGGGGGACGGGACAGGTAGAATTGTATAGATGCAGCTCAGTGGTGTCGGGTTGTTCCAGACTCTTGACCTATCCATCAAAACTGTTTTGATGATGATGAAGGCTGAGTGGTGTATGCAGATGAAGAGGGTGTTCTATTTCTTTGAAACCTTGGCTTCTTTCTGGGCAGCACTATGGGTCTCTGAAATCCTGAAAATGGAGCAGGATGCAATCTGCTAAACTTTCATTTGCTTGCTTGAGGGGATCTCCAGGGGCCCTGGAATTCCTGCAAGGCTTTGTCGGTGCTTTCCAGGAAAAGTTTTAATCCATCAAAGGGGAGGACCTTGATCTTGTTTTGGACCTCTCTTGGGAACTCAGACAGCTGGAGTAAGGATGTTCTATGCATGACCACTGCTGTAGAAATGGAGTGAGACACAGTATCAACTGTGTCTAAAGAGGCCCTCAGTGAGGTCCTAGCTAACGGTTGGCCCTTGTTAATAATAGACAGACGTTGCTCGTGATGTTCTGTCAGGAAGTGCTCAATAAAGGTGGTAGACTTAGAATAACGTGTATGGTTATGTTTTGCTCTAAAAGCCTAGTAATTTGTGATCGTAAACTGAAGTGTCACAGACAAGTAGTTCTTACAGCCAAATAGGTCAGGACATTTTTGTTTCTTATCAGGTATAGATTTTACATGCTGCTGCTTGCCATGTTCATTCACTGCTTCCATAACCAGAAAATTAGGTGCAGGATAGGAAAATAAAAGTTCGGAGTCCTCAGCCAGGACATAATATTTTTTGTTGGCACTCTTGCAGGTCAGTGCTAGGCTCTGACAGATGAACTTCGCAGCGTCCAACAGAGCCTCATTAATTGGCAAGGCAACTCAAGCACAGAAAGTCCACTGAAGAACGTGCGGGCGCGTATGCTACAACTCTCTAACCTCCTCTAAGGTGATCTGTAAGGAGTCTGCGTACATTTCATTCAGTCCTGAAACTGTCTGAAATCCTCAGCCAGAGAAGCTGGAGCAGGCATTACCGTCTCATCTGGAGATGAGGAGATATTTGCAGAAAAGCTTCCTTATCTGCTTTGGCCTCCTGCTCTTCAAAGGATTCCTGCCCTTGATGTAACAGAGGAGGGATAGATGGGGTAGGAGAATGTGCAGCCTAAGGATCCCAGTATGGCCACTGAGTGAGTTCATAAGGCATGGGAGTGGCACCCAATGGTGATTGAACCAGTGTGAAAGGATGTGGGTCAGTCCTGGGTATAGCTCTCCTCTTTCCCCAAAAGTGTCAGGCGGGAGGTCCCTTTGGTGAATATGGGAATCCTGCACTGAGATTTGGAAGTCAGAAGAGAACTCCTTCTCATCTGAAGGAGGAACTCTACCACTCTCAGAGGGTTGGAGAATCGAATGGTACTGAGGAAAGGTCCAATCTTGGTGACTGTGTCACTCGTGGTACCAACAGACAAGCAGTACCCACTAGCCGGGGAGACTCCAGCTCATCTAATATGAATAAGTCCCTGGAGTATCTGAATTCCTGTGGTACTGGATTTGTTGGCACATGGCAAGGTTCCACAGTTGGTACCACAGGCATAGACTGCTCTGGTAAGTCTCATACAATGGAAGTAGATGGCTCCGACAAAGATGGCTTAGGAGGATTTGAGACAGTATCAGAAATGGGACGTCTGCACAGTACTGAGGATGTCTTGGTGGCTGGCTTAGTCATGGAAAGTACTGAGGGAGTTGTAGGTATCACCCTTTTAGAAGTAGAGGATTTAAATTCCTTTGCTGCAATGTCCTGCTTCTGCAATACGGTGCAGGATATCGATACTGAGGCATGTTTGGTGCATTTAGCCTTAGAAAAGCTTGGAGTTCCATGCACAGGGTCAACACTGACAGCACCTGAAGCCTCAGTGGTACCCGGAGCAGGACTTGAGGTCTCCAATATGGTCTTACTTTGAGAAGACTGAGGCTCTCTCATTTTCTTTAAAAATGAGAATGAGTCCTCCAAGGATCTCTCCTAAGTCTGGGTGAGTGCAGATGTTGACAGGGCACTATGGTCTCTCAGAAGCTGATGCCTGGACCCAAGGCCAGATGGAGATAAAACTTAAGCTCTTAATGATGTAGTCGCAAAAAGAAAAGGAGTACTAGTGGCACCTTAGAGACTAACCAATTTATTTGAGCATAAGCTTTCGTGAGCTACAGCTCACTTCATCGGATGCATACAGTGGACTGTGCATCGGATGCATACTGTGTCCACAGTATGCATCGGATGAAGTGAGCTGTAGCTCACGAAAGCTTATGCTCAAATAAATTGGTTAGTCTCTAAGGTGCCACAAGTACTCCTTTTCTTTATGCTAATACAGACTAACACGGCTGCTGCTCTGAAACCTGTCATAATGATGTAGTGTTATCTCCCAATTCCTCCTGGCTCTGCTTTTAAAAGCTGGATAGTACGCTTCTGAGGGATGTAAGTTTCCCCCAAAGCTATAGGTACACCAGGAGTGCCAGTCACTGACCAGGATAGCTTCCTGGCTAGTCAGGCGATGATTGAAACTCAAGACAGCGGATCTCAAAAGAAAAAGCCCCCCCTAGAGGTGAAGGGATTATAGAACAAATCCCCCTACAAAATGAAATAAGCATAAAATTAAATTAAAGGAAAAGAAAAAAAAATAACTAGACTAAGGACAAGCTTTGAATAGTAAAGCGGACACATTAGCACACTCTCTCGGACGGTGAAGGTGGGTTTACCCAGGCAACCCTATATGTCCTCAGTGCAGGGCATGAGGATGTGTGGGACACAATGGGCACTACTACCAAGTTTCCGATCAAAGTGCATGAGGCGTGAGCACGCCTGAACTGGAGCACTCCTAGGGACACTACTTGAAGAACAGCTCTGGAGCATGTACCAAGACGGCAATGAAGCACCATGCTAGTGTGAACACAGGGCAGAAAAAACAATGTATGTTTACACCAGTGCAGCACAAACTACAACAGACTTTTCTAACACGGACAGGGCCTTAGTACTTAGAAAGCCCCAATCCTTGACATATCGAGGCGCTGGTAGCCAAGCTCTGGGACAATGGAAAGTTTGGATGTGGTTACAGGTACAAGGAGTTATTCTTTTGCATACGCTGCAAGACACAGGCTCAGTCCTGCAGTCCTTAATCATGAGTCGCCTAACTGAAGTCTGTAGGGGCTGCTTTTTCTCGCACTAGCCTCCATGCTGTGTACTTAGTAATATTGCACAACATATTTCTGTCAAGCCCCATGCAAGAGTATACTGAGGGCACTTTTCTAAGTGAAATTTAAGTAACTATTATTCACACTAGCCACTAAAAACTTAAAGTTTTTCCAAAGAGCAGCTAAATTGCCTTATATATTGTTCTTAAGCCCTTTTGCTATATTAAAACTTTTGCAAAATACTGGTTAGAGCTTTTTTCTCTCATGATAAATGGATAAATGAATGATAAATTTATATTTTGCCAATTCAATTCTCTCCTCACTCTTCCCGCCACCCCAAAGGATATTCTTAACACCTAACGTGTAACACAGTGTTTTCATATTGTTCAGAACCATGATAAAAATTCAGATCTTTTAATGTACATATAAAACAATTTAAATGTATTTGATTCTACACCATGAATATGTGGAAAAGATATTTAATTGTAAAATAGAAAAAGTAGGCCAGAGTACAGTTTTAAGGGCAGTGCCTTTGAATACAGTATAGGTAAACTAGACTTTGTTTAAGTTTATATAAACAATATCATAAAAGCAGTGAAACATGGAAAGACAAAGCAAAGCACGAATAAAAGACAAGTTATCGTTTTACAAAAAAGGAATCCGCACAATAGTTCAAAGTTGAATGTAACACGGCATCGAACAGTCTTAAGGCAGCATGACCTAAGGACGGGACTAGGAGCCAGGAACTCCTGAGTTCTATTCCCGCGTCTGCCACTGACTTATGTGGCCTTGGGCAAATCACCTAACCTCTCTGTGTCACGCTTATACCAATTGTAAAATGGGGACAATAATGTCCATACCATAGGGGACATAGTGAGGATTAATTCTTTACTGATTATACAACACTTTGAAGATGTAAAGCACTAAATAAATGCTAAATATTCATACAGATCACTGCACAGACACATTTATCACAGTGAAGCACAATGATGGTAGGTAACAAGAGCACCAAAACAACATCAAACTTTCAGGTCCAGCTGCATAATTTAAATGCAAAAAGTCTGTTTATAAAATGTGTCCTTGAGATAATCTGAAGATTATTGGTGAAACAATTTAAGAATATTTAAAAGGAATTGCTATGTGGGTTCCTGTGGAGACAGTCTTTCATACTTCTGTACTTTAAAAATGTTTGCACACGAAAGTTATAAGACTCACAGAAAAGTGAAGTTTCAATGCCCCCCACTGTCAACATTTTCAAATAATGCCTGTATTACGTAAATTAAGGTTTTTTTTATTTTTACAAATTACATTCTTCCAAGAAATATACCATTCACAATAAAACTGGCTGCTAGCTTACTTCAAATGACATTTAGGCTAAACATTTTTTCTCATAATTTTCCTCATCTTTGCTGAAAAATATCTATGCAAGATGTGTGTAGAAATTATAAAAACATGCAGCATATGTACAAACTGAAAAGTTTAAAAAATATTAGCTTCATATACATGTAAATCTACTTGGATATATCGGAAATTAAATATAAAATTTTCACTTTCTAAAACAAGGGTTTTCAGAAAATCTAAGACAACTACTTAAAGTTGTACAAAGATGTCCATCAGGAAATGTCTTATTCAAAAAGAGGTCTAAGTTGTTCCCAGTAGGAATAACTATTAATTCATTTTCAAACTGTCAATCTTAATCTGCAACATCACCCTTAAAACTGTTCTGTTTTTCAGAAATTAGATTTATACTAAAATCCAAAATTTCACAAAAACATTGGCTTCTTGTGTTTCTGGATCCCTTCAAAAAAATTTATCAACTCACTTTGGAACTGTAAAAAAAACAACTATTTACAGTATTTCATTTTAAATACTTTTCACAATTTCTAAATTCAGCTTTTATGTTACAAGAAATTCATCAGAGCTCATGGCTTAAGTCCAGTTATCAACCTGTAGCATCTTTGCTATTGTGTAATCCTATTTCTGTACCTATAGAGTGTACAGTTCAAGATTGTACTGCAGTTTTCTTGACTGAAAATAAGAGACTTTACAATATGTCCATTTCAATATTTAAACAGCTTCTTTATTAGTCTGGAGACGGGTCATTGCCTCTAATTTCTGCCGATAGGCTTCTGCTTCTTGCTCTTTCTTTAGAAGCTGCTGTCGATACTTTTGTGCTTCTCGATTTGCCTCATCCAGCTGTTTCTGTAGAGTTTCTCTCTCCTATTAAAAACAAAACAGCAATGTTTTGTCTAATGCATGTTAAGTGCAAGATAAAACGGCAGTTTTTGGACAGCCAAGGTACAAGGCATCATATACAGAATCAGAAGCTAGGAGGTCCAGTCCTGCAGTTTACTCAGGCAAAACTCTCACTTAAATACTTTTGTGTAAATAAACAATGAAAGATTGGGCCAGACAATTGCTCACAAGATTTAAAGTGCAAATATACCAAAAAATACTCTCTCTTTAAGAGTATGCTCTTATGACATTTGCTCAGGGGAAAAAAGCAATCTTTGGAAAATATGTTGAATATTCAGGCACAGTTGTCTGACTCAGTTTCCAGAATCGGAATTTAAAAAAAAAAAAGTTCAAACTTCTTTAAAAAAAAATCAATACACAGTTCATATCCAAGCAGGTTTCCCCACTATGAGTGTCTATATAATTAGAAACAGAAGCAATAGCATAGAAATAGAACTTCCAGGGACCAATTCTTCTATATCATGATAAAAGTAACTTCCGCCAAGGTTTTTATAAATAAAAAAAAACAAAAAACAAACAAACCAGGGTATTTCTCCTACAGAACTATAGAAGCAATTAGACTGGCAACCTATTCTTTCCCCCGATGAGGTGAAATAGAGGTTTTCCACCTTACAACACATACATCTCTAACTGGATGGAGAAAAAGTTTGCTCATCAATGAAATTCTTAACTAAGGTCCCATCATGCATCTGCATCCATGCAGGCACAGGGGTTTGCCCACACAGATGCAGCTGTAGTACAGAGGCTAAGTTCCAGTTGCAGAATCTTTATTTCTAGCAACAATGCAGAAACCAGAAGGGACACAGCTTGATTTTCAGATCCACAGCTAATGGGAAAAAACTATTTCACTTGTAAAGTGAGCAATCCGATTTAGAAATTAATGAGACGCAACAAACATGGAAATTCACACAATTACGTCGAGTCATATTTCAGACTACAATAGGTGATCAAATAAAATACTGTGCTGACTTTGTGTGTACACTGAACAATTAATGAACACTGCATTCTAATGAGGTAACTGTTTTCCAGCCCATCAGAAATACATTTTTAATCTACTAAATAATTTAAAAGGGACTCAGACACCTTAAATCTTGTTTGAATTTTTCTTTTTAACCTAGTATTGTTACAAGGAAGTTTTGCCTAGAATTAGCCCTTACGATTACTGTAACTAAAAGGAATTAGAGAAAAATATTTTTCTTCCCTCCCTCCCCGCCCACACGCCGGATTGTGCATTTGACAGTGCTTACTATATACAGTTAGTTTGATCAGAATATAATAACATCAGCTAACAGTAGCTTGCTGCTACTCACTATAAATGATAACCAGGCTTTTATGGAAAATAAACTTGGGAGACAAAAGCAGAAGCATGCTGCTCAAATACTAATATAATACAACAAAACTCCATTACAATTACTTTGAGTGTGATCCGCTTCCCATTGATGACAAAATTCTTACTGACTTCAATGGGAGTAAAACCATGCTCTTTATTTCTATTCAGCCAATTGGATGGCGAAATTTTAACTAGTGGCTCTCTATGCTGTAAAGTGATGGCTGCTCACAATACAAGTATCTAACTTCTATATTCTCATTAATTCAGTCAGTCATTGACTATATAATCTAGAAGAATATTTTGGATTATTTATGTACTGTATGTACTGTACTTTTATGAATTAACAAGTGTTTGCTAGATGTATTTTTTAAAATTTGTATAAAGTGAATTATAGTTGGCCATCCTACAAGCCAATTGTCTGGCATACTGTTCATCTGCTATATTTAAATATGATGTCACAGAATGGTTTCAAGGCTAAGTGAGACACTTCATTTCAAAGCAGGAGACATTTCTCCTGTGTCCTAGGAAACATAGCTGAGTACAATAGAAATACATTCAGCTATTAACAACGTAGATGCTGCCATGCTGTTTGATGCAGAAGAGCCACCGTGACAAACTGCATCCCACTGAAAAATGACTGCCTTGGAAAATAGCTTTGTTTTGATCTTCACTCAAACAGAAGCCATCTTATTAAAATAAGTGCACCATACTATTATGGAGAAGCCAATTTCTGATTCAATCACTCTTTTCACTTTAATCACCAAGTAGTAGTTGTGGAAGCGAAACTCAGAAAATAAAGCTGCCAAGCTGTCCCTCAGGAAAATGTTGGTCTATCAAATAAGACAATGGCATCATCACCATACTCCCTCACACTTTCTCCTTCACTCTAGCAGCTCAAAACCATATTACGATTTCAGACCTTATGCAGGTCTGAAATTCTTTTCTATAATACTTAAAATACTTTTCTTTCTCAGCTCAGTACTCCTCACCTGTTTGCATGATTAGTACCTAAAAATATTAAATAAATACAATACACATAGTACGCCTTCTGATTCCTACTGTCCCCAATGCTAGAGCTACATTTAGCTGTCACATGTGGTGCTGAATATGTCAGCATATAACGACAAAGGTAATTGATCAGTGCTAATGTTAGCATCTGTGTAGCAGAAACAATGGGTGAAGGAGAGATTTTATTAAGTTTCATAAAGGTTAGTTATCAAAATAGAGAAGAGAATAAACTACATATACTGTAGTTGCTTTATATGGGGCTTTACACAGTTTTGAACACTGGGCTGAAAGAGAAGCTAAAAATGAATAGGTTTCAGAAGTGTAGCTGTGTTAATCTGTATCAACAAAAACAATGAGGAGTCCTTGTGGCACCAGAGACTAACAAATTTATCTGGGCATAAGCTTTCGTGGGCTATAACCCACTTCACCAGCATCAGATGCAGTGGGTTATAGCCCATGAAAGCGTATGCCCAAATAAATTTGTTATAGTCTCTAAGGTGCCACAAGGACTCCTCATTGCTAAAATCAATAGGTTTCTCTCAGCTGGAGTATGCACGAATAAAGTGAGTGCTCCATCTTAAAAGGTGATGATCTGGATCACTCACTTGACAAGATAATTTGGCATCCAACTTCTAAGTTTATCCTCTTGGGAATCAGAACACTGCCTTGTAAGACACCACATGAATGGTTAAATAGTAAATCAACCCATCCAACAATTGGACTGGCCAATTATAATTGCCTTTTGCAAAATAAATATTTAAATTCACGTCACAGGACATGTAAAGTGCAATTATACTCTAAAAAATGTATAAAGTGAAGTTAGCACTGTGGGGTACAAGTTTGTGCCTCAGGGACATCCAAGGTCAAATTTTTTCAGTTTATTAGTGAAAAGATGACTTTTCTAACTGCCACAGCTGCAAACTCAACCTGAAGTCTGAAAATCAAACGTGTTCTTTCTGGCTTGTAATTATCACCAGTAGAAAGAGATTCTACAACTGGAACTTAGTGAACTGATGATGCAAGATGAGAACTGAATTCAGCTCTCTCCCACAGGTATATTTTTCTGCAGTAGAAGTAGGGGAAGTATAAGCTTATTTAGGGGCTAAATTCTGCTCTTAGTTATACTGCTATAGATATGGATTAACTAAAACAAGCACACTTGACTCTAAATAAAAGGAGCAAATCTACTGAGTAAGAAATTGTCTTTTTAAAAAGTCTCCACATAAAATGTGGTTATGTAGCTAATGGAGGGGAATGAGACACAAAATGCAGATACACCAATCTCTTAAGTAAATGAAAGATCTGATGGTGTGTACTATTTTAAATGCTTAAATTAAAAAACTAGGTCAGTAATAAAGGAATAATATGAAAAAAATAATACAAAAGTAGAGTTAAACTTTTTATTTTATGGCAAATTAGTCTTCTGGTACAAAGGTATGTCAAAACTGTGATATTCAGCAATTCGATGGGGAAAACAAACAAAATCTCCTCTTATTTGGAAAGGGATTTTTTGCACAATAAATATCCACACACGGCTTAGAATTACATGTCTGAGAAATGCAAGATTATTTTACAAAAAGGAGTTAGATCTGGGTTCAGAAATAGGTAATTTTATTTTATTCAGAGCTTTCTACTCTTTAAATTAAAAGAGAAATTCTTTTAAATGCTGATAAGAATTTTAAATATTTTACTGATAACAACTGTACATATACAAACCTTGAAAACATAAGATACATACCAAGCTTCCTCTAATATGAAATAATTCACATAAATGAAAGTTCCTTGCTTTTAACTCAGTTTTTTCTAACATTATCTGAGCCTAAAGTCAAGTCTGCTTATTAGAGAACACAATTTACTTACAACTTGGATTACCTCCAAAATTGAAAAATACATGAACAATGACACAGAAACTCCAAGTGAATAATGTTCCAGACTGGCCAATCCATAAAATCACCAATTAACAGGGAAGACAGAATTTCCCTGTTTTCAGGGAATGGCCACCTTCCAATCTGCAGCTACTCCTGGAATCAGCAAGAAGAAGAAAACAGAAAGGGAGGGTACTGGAAAAGATAAATACTATATACACATGAAAAATATTTTTTTAACGAATATAAACAAACAGAGCAGACAGGTTGAAGAAACCTATGGCATAAGAATGAAGCAAGCCCTAAAGGAAGATTTTCACAGATGTCTTCATCAGCAGATCTTTTCTTCCCTGCCATGAAGGTGCTAGAGACTCCCCTGCAAATAGATGCTTTAAAACCTCTCCTGGTGCAGCCCTAAATCAAAAAGACAGCATCAGGCTTCTGCCATGGCTATACAGTACTTAAAAGGAGAGAAGAATCACTTCTTTGAAAAGAATGGATTTCTTGATTAAGAGGAAATAGAGAATATATCTTGGATGTGAATTCCACTAGTCTTATTTTGGAAGAAACAGAGAAAAAAAAATTATCTACCTTTCGTTAACTGTTGTTCTTCCAGAATTGTTGCTCATGTCCATTCCATTCTAGGCTTGCGCGCGCACCCATGTGCACAGTAATCGGAGATTTTTGCCTTAGTGGTATTGGTATGGTCTGCTGTGGTGTCCCCTTGAGTGCCACACTCATGTGCTAGTATATTATAGGAG